TGATATACTTTTGACTTCATATATTGGTTGCTCGGTGTGAATTGAGCCAGTTTAGAATATAGAGGTTCTGGAAAATGTTGTTTCGATGCCTTGATGCTATTTAAAATGATCTGATCTCTTTTAAGATTCCATAGTTTGAGGATGCTTTCATTGTCTCCGAATGTATTCATTATTGTATTTGTTATGACTTTTTGATGTTACGGGTTGTGTATCCCTTGTACTCCTATATATAATAATTTTTGATTCATCAAAAAAAGAGATGTATGGTGCTCTAATTTTAGCTATTCAAAGGGGTTAAAATATCTGACAAGTGTTTCATGTGATGAATTTGATTTTCGGAAATCATATTTGCTCTAATGCATGGTGTATTTTCAATAAGCCTTCTGCTTTCCCAGGTGATGCAAACCCCAAAGATCGCAATGAAACCCCCCACACACAATTGCGTCACCGTGTTAACCATAATTTTCCAGAATGTTTCTTTAATTATCTGAGTTGTAACCAAGCTGCCTTTTCTTTTTTCCCTTCTCTTTCCTTTGTTGCAGTACTGGTGGTCTGGTGCAGTTGAATGAGGAATCGCCTTTGTTGTTAATATAGTTAACGTAACTTTCTAATTTGTTGAAGCAATTCTATATATGACAGCATATTTTTGTTTCAGGCCTTTACAGGTACTCAGAATGTTTCTAGTCTACAAAAGGAGAAGGCTTGGAGAGTTAATGTCCGCATACAAGGATGTGACCTTGAACATGGGTATCTATGTGGCACCATGGAAGCTTTAAATGTTCCTATGGCTGAAACACCAGTAAGTTGTTTTCCCGTGCAACAACTCCTAGGTCCTGTGTATAATTTTGGTTATATTAGTGTACCCTTTTCCAGCAAATATTTGCAAATTTTTTCGAAGACGCATTTTTAAAAGGTTATTACGTGTTAGTTAGCCTTGAGGCGGTAGATCCGAGGCCGGATGGTCAATACGATGAGGGTCAAGTCCTGATGGTGTTGAAACTGGGTCTACTGTGCTCAAACAACACGCCAATGGCACGACCCAGTATGCGTCAGTGGTTAGGTATCTAGACGGCGAGGCTGTATTGGCGGACAATTTGAGGGTCGCTGCCGCTTTCGACAGCCGAAAAGGAATCGGATTTGATGAATTTCTACACTCTTTTGCATCTTCTCCGTTTGATGGACTGAGCTCGACTTCGTTTATGGAAAATGGGCATACCGCTACCAGTCTTGCTTCCGTTTCTACTTCTCCACTCTCTCTTCTTCAAGAAACAAGATGATATATTGTATGGTTATGGTGTAGTTAGAATTTTCTTAAAGGCAATGATGTTGCATTTTCTTCTTACTTCTGGTTTGGTTTGGTTTGGATCATATAATGCAAACAATTCAAATATATTGTGCTGTTCATTCATCCAATGGTTTTTTTCTTTTTCTTTTTCTTTTTCTTTTTTTTTTTTTTGAAAAATATGAATTGGTATAGGCATACCACTAACTTCAAAATTAGTTAATTTAAAATTACATAAAATTATATATATATTATTTAACTTAAATGCACAAAAATAATATAAGATAACGTTTTTTATTTAAGAGAAAGAGAATTCAATTTAAGGTGATTAATTCCTTAAATTTTTTTATTTATCTAATGATTTTAATTTTATAATTTGATATAATGTAAAATTATAAAACCATGAACTCTTAATTTAATCAAATTGTATTATCAATAAAGAAGTTTAAAATTATGAGTGCCAACCAAGAGTTCATTGGTAAATGAAAAAACAGGAGCAATTTCCAAACACAGTAAAACAAAGGCCTAGACATGCCTTGGAATGGATGGATTCATAACAGCGTGGGGTTTTAGCCAACTCTTGGGCGTTTCTGCACTTTTCCTGAAGAGTCAACTAACAATCGAACCCGTCGTCTGTTGAAATCCATGGTAAAAAGACAGTTTGGCTCAATCACCTGAATCTGATCCCCCGGCGTATCCTCCTTTATCTCTCTCTGCTTCTTCTACCGTCATGCCTACCAGCTCAGGCCACTCCATATTCCGGACAGCGTTTGGTCCAGATGTACTCCCAATCCCATAAGTCCCTGCACATCTTCTTTCGGTAAAGTCTCAGCTCCACTAACACAGAGAAGAGAAGAGAAGCAAACAACTTGGTAAAACTCCAGTTTGTTGAGGAGCTTGCTCCTCAAGAGATGCAGTGTCCTTGTCTTGACCAGGACCAGCTATAGAAAAGCAATAATATTGTCTTGCTTAGGGATGAAGAACAAACTAATTTAAAGGTCATTTATCTATCTAATCTTGTAAATTTTTTTCAGGTTGATGTTGACTATGCCACACAAGAATTTCTTTTGCTAGGCCGGCTACGGGCTTGCTGATCAACTATGTTGACAATCACTAATCACTTATAACCCAAATTCCAAAGTCTGACATCAAAATATGGTAATTTCTGGCCCGCAAGCCTAGCAGAATTTTGGAGTAACCTGAATTAAAACCCGATCATCACAATTGGGCTTAATTCAAAAAAAATTCGACAGTATTTCTCCTTTGGAACCTCGTACTAAAGTCTGAACATCTCCTTGATAATGGCTTCCATAATTTGGAAATGTTAAGAGAGTCAAAATTTTAAGGATTTAGTCTTATGGTTATACTTGATTTGCAAGCGAGTGTTATCTAAGAAATAAGAACATGTCCAAAGTCATGAGTCATGTCACATTGAAATCTCATGCAACCCAAGGGACTCTTCATTTCTTTGATTGTATTACGAACTCCAATTTCCCCAAATTTCATCCATTTTTCTTCCTCTGAATCTCTCTTGATTTCAAATTGCAGATAAATATTCTTGAAGGTGTAGAAATTAGGATCCACAGCTGATATTTTGGACTTTTAACATGCATTGGGGTTGAAACTAGTAGGCATGTTGTGTTCACAATGAGACTGGAGTAACAATGTCTAACCAACGACGCATGATATCATGTAGTAACAAAAATACAGATCGAAACACAAATAATTAAATACAAAATCTTCAGAATCATCGACCTCCTGAAAGTAGGGACCCAGCAACTGAAGAGGCATCCAAGGTTGAGTAGGACAAGGCAAAGTCATCAAACCCTTCACCATGGGTAAACGTTAGGCCACCTGCCGTGAGGGCTAGTGCAGATAAATCTGGTAAAGGAACATCCATTTCTAAGTACTGCACCACTTGGCGCATGCTTGGTCTGAATCTAGGGTCTGAACTCGAACAGAGCAACCCCAGATTCAACACCAACTCTACTTCCTCTGCTACAAAATCTGTCCCTAATTTTGGATCCCTAACCTCTAGAATCTCCCCTCTTAGCCAAAACGAATACACCAGATCCACTAGAATCACATTCTCACTTTCAGCTCGTTGCTCTATTGGCCTTCTTCCACATGCAACTTCAAGTAAAAATGCACCAAAAGAAAAAACATCAGTGTTTGTCGTGGCCTTCCCGGTGCGGGTATGCTCTGGTGCAAGGTACCCAAGAGTTCCCACCACATGAGTTGTTTGTGGATCCTTTCCATGATCATACAATCTCGCTAAACCGAAATCACCTAATCTTCCATTTAATTCACCATCCAAGAGGACATTACTTGCCTTGATGTCTCTATGAACCACAACCTGCTCCCATTCTTCATGTAAATAGAACAGCCCTGAGGCTACACCCTTGATGACTCTGAATCTCTGTCTCCAATTCAGGGTGACCATCGGCTGGTCATAGAGGTACTTGTCTAGACTTCCATTCGGCATGTAGTCATAGACCAAAAGCAGCTCAGTTTTTCTCCGGCAATATCCTAAGAGCTGGACCAAATTTCGGTGACGGAGACGACCAATACTAACAATTTCCGCCACGAATTCTCGCATCCCCTGTCTTGATTCATGAGAGACTCTTTTCACTGCGACCTCCAATTTAGTGGTGGGTAGTACTCCCTTGTATACCCTACCAAATCCTCCAGTACCCAGTAATCCTTTGTCTTTGAACCCTTTTGTCGCAACATACAGATCTTTGTACTTGAATCTTTGAGGCCCGTATTCGAGCTCCCAATCTTCAACCTGATCGGCGAATTTCCTCTTCCTTCTTATGAAATAAACCATCCCCGATCCTGCTGCGAAAACCAGAGTCAGGGAAATTAGAGGCATCCCAATTGTCCAGAATTTCGTGGTTTGCTTCGTTCCTCTGCGAGGAAGCTTAGGGAGCTGGGAAATGTCGAGCTCTTGAGCTTTCCCGTTAATCATGAAGCTCCAGCCTAGGATATAATGTGATGTCAGGACCGAACCCGTTGACGATGAAAATCCGACGTAGACGATGTCGTTTACCAACGGAGACAGATCAATTGGCAGAGACAGAAGTGGAGCTTTGGGTTTAGGAACATTAATTGGAGCTAAGGTGACATTCATCCTCTGTTCTAGACTGTCGTACTCGACCCAAACCAGGATTGGCCGACCGCTGATAAGGGTCAGGTTGCTAAACTGGTCGGGACCATTGACATAATACCCAGCTCCGCGGGACACGTTCGACTTCAATCCATTAAGATCGATTCCGACATGGTTGTCATCGATGTCGTTCTGCTCCTTATTCTGTATCGTATCGAGTTCCACAGCAACAACATGATTACTGGAGTTTCCATTGTTGCCTTCATTGAATAAGCCAAGGAATTGGCTCGCTAGACCACCCGAAAGGTCTCTGGTGGGTGAAATCACAAAGGCGATACCATGGCCGCTGAGAGTAGGGTATTCGGGCACTATAGCGAAGACGAAGGTGGTGGAGAAGGAGAAAGCAGTGCCGTTTGTGGAGCTCTTGAATTTCACCGGAGAGGAGTAGAAAGCATGACCCTTTTGCTGCTTGGTATCATTGGTGAGCTTCAAGAGTCCGTTGAAGGTGACCTCTGCGAGACCGTCGAGGGTCAAATTCGCCTGCCGGAACCCTTGGTAGATGAAATTAACATCTCCAGCGATTGAATTAACCAAGAGAACCAGTACGGCGAGCCTGAAAAACATGTCGGATTATTTTTTCTTGGGTTCTCTTTGTCGGCAATCTTTTTGTTTCTTTTAAAGCGTCCTTTACCCTTCGCTTAAAAAGATAAAAGTAGGTCCATCGCCATTGCTGTCTATCCATAATTCCATATGGCAAGGGAGTCAAATTTTCCTCTTTGTGATTGGTCCAAGGTGTAAGGGCCCACCTACGTGGACGGGTTAGATTGACTTGGAACTTTGGAAGTTTCCTAGGGAGCAGCTGTGAACGTGCTACACGGTCAATTTTTCTAGTTGCGTCCATTACCTA